GCAGGGAAGCTGAGCAAATGAGCTGCAGGATGCACATTCTTCACAGAGTTGTTTACTCGCAGCCACAAAGCACGCAAACACCTCTGCACTATAAATCACAGGGTTAGTGAGGCAGAGAGGATGGGAACTTGTGTCAACCCAGCAGTATCAGTACCCACGGGTTCAGGGCAGCTTCCACCACAGAGTCCTGGAGTCACCATGAGCCAGAAAAGTTATTACCAAGCAGCATTCAAAAAGTCAAGAGCAGCGTGCTCGATACTGTACAGTAATTAAGCTAAGTGTAAATCAGGCTGAGTAGCACAAATAGGCTTAGTTTTTTTTGTTTTTTTTTTTTTTACAGCAAATCCATGACAGCACCTCCATAAGGGTGAGGACAAACATTGAGTAGAGAACTGCCAACCTGCCTGAAGTCCTTTCTGCTCTCATCTACTGGCACAAAGTATAAAATACTCCCTTCGTTGTCAATCAGGTCCTGAAGAGTTCATCATTACCTCCCGAATCAAGTACCACAGTGGCTCACACGCACCATTTCCATGGCAGTGCACCCAGATGAGGCAGAAAGTGGAGCAGACATCCTTCCTGGGGACTGGGATACTGACCACCTGCAAGGGTTTTTTTTTTTTTTCTGATGGCATTCTTGCTTCATTAACAAAAAATGACGATCCCATTTTATATTGAGAGAGATAATTCTGGCACTATCTCTGAAGTATAAAATGAAGGTATGAAAATGTCAACTCATAGTAACACTGTTGCTATCACTCAGGAGTGTCTGCTGTTAATATAAAGGAGAGTGCAATAATGGTTCCCTTCTCATCCACTTACTTTTAGTCCAGTTTGCAAAAGAAACAGAAAAATTGACCTGCGAGGTACACTTGAATTTCTTCTAAAATTTTACATCCTGAAATTTTACATTGGTCTTCTTGAATATCAAGATCACCTCAACTTCAAGAAAGACACTTTACTGAACAACTCAGCACTGAAAGGCCTGTTCAGTCAGTACACAGCTAAGACCACCCTGTTGGTCTATTGATGGTTGCATCCAAGAGTTTCCAAGAGAAACAAAGTGAACCAAAACAGCAATGCAGAAAGCAACTGCAGGCTCATGTAGTAAAACAAAAATAAAATAACCTGACATCAGGAAACAGAAACTATCATTCACATGCGTTCATTAATCAGGCTTTTCTCAACAATCAAACAGGAAAAATCATGACAAAAATCAACGAAGAACAAATGACTGAAGAGCTCTAACTATGGAGTACAAAGGAAAGCATTTCTCAGTAACTTTTTAAGTCTCTGCTTATGCAGGTAAACATTAACATACAGCATACAAAACCATCCCTATTCAGCTGTATTATTTAATCAGTAATGTTAAGGTCTAGTACAGAGCATGCAAATTAGAGCCAACTCCTGATATTTAGCTACTAAAGAGCGTTTCCTGCCAGAGTTTGATCTTCCCATTTAACATAGCAAAGAATTCTGAAATGAATTACCATTAAACACTTGCAAAGATCCAGTGACTACACTCCAGAATGACCTACGGGAACCACAAGATTAATTGAAGATCTCTCTCCCACCCATAGACAAGCAGCTGACAGATGTGCTATTCAGCCACAGATTAAATAAAATAGGTAAACTGGCTGGTCTTAAGGTCACCTCAACTGGAAAGCTGCAACACACGGCTCCTTAAGGACTAATGGGAGACATTTACATTAGCAATAAATGGGATATGATCTTTAAACTTCACTAATTATCATATATTTTTACACCAAGCCAGGTTCCACTATAGTTAGCAGAACATTTCAACAATCTGGCAGGCAATTAGCATGGTTCTGCCTATGTTTCTCAAAGGTAAGCCATTACTTTCCTACATGAGTTTTCTCTTGCTCTATGCCACTGACATATATCATTCTACTCATAACTCTGAGAACAACAATTCAAATTTAATACCAAGGATAAAGTCCAGGAGAACATTACAATTGGCTAATTTTGAACCTTACCTTGTCACCAATATCACGAGTTCTGGCAGGACAAGGGAAAAAGAAGAATCATTTTACACCCAACTGGTTTCAGTGCAGTAACACTACAGATAGAGTACTGCCCAGCAAAGAGTTTCCAAGAACTTTAAAAATAAGCAGATGAGAAACACCTGTTTGGATGTAGGCAAATGTAATCTAATTGAGCCTGACAGCACAGACATCAATACAGTCATTTTCAAGATTTAGGAAACCTGCAATAGTTAAACAAACAAACAAACAAACATCTCACACTCCAGGATGCCTCTCTTCACAAATTTTTTCCTTAAATGTGCAGGCAGATCAGGTGTACAGAATCAGCTGATGTTTCATTAAAGTCTCTGTTTAACTTAAAATGGGATTTAAATAAACCTTTAGCCCTTTCAGTGCAAAAGCATTCATACCTCATCTGCAGCCCGACAGTAAAGTATCAAAGGGTTAATTAACACATATGCAGTGTGTGGTTTAGGTAATATGAAATGGAAATGTATGAATAGACAAGTGTCAGCAAGTGCAATGGAAATAAATTGGGCATCTCCTTCCACACTTCAACTTTCTCTCTCTAGATTTGCTCAGAGCTCTCTATGCTGCTTGTTCAGTAATTTCACGCTACGCTGCTTAACAATGTAAGCATGGAGGCTCAATCTAAAACTGCACTTCCCAAATGTCACTTGTTTGCAAACACATGGCTGAACCCAAAATTGCTTTCGATATTAAGAGTGGTGCCTCCTGGCACTGTTGTAGTTAAAGGTCTGTCGAATTTCCATGATAAACCCCATTTTCAGGGGTGTATAACCATGACCATTTGCTACAGACAAACCTGGGATTCAAGGCCACAGCAAAATTATTTTTTTTTTCTTCCCAAACCAGATTTGAGGCCTCTTACAGGTCTAGTTTTTTCTTACCAACCCTGTAGCTCCATAACAAATTCAAATGTATGATTCCCTCTTCACGCTCTACATGGCCTTAGAGTCTACAGCTACTCCACATGGCCCAGTCTAACACCATGATGGAAAGATTACAAACACCAACTACGGATTCAAATACCTGAACACATGTAAGGGACAGAGAAGATAAATGCATGACTTTTCAGAATGAGGATTTTTTTGTTATGAGAATCGTTTTGGCTGCCATTGCTAGCAATTCAGAGATTTTACCTGCCTGGCACAGTGATTATGCGTTATTTTATACTTCACAGCACAAACAATAGCATGCATAACAGAAAATGCTTTTAAACTACCGTAGTTTCAGAAATGAAATAAAATCTACGTGTTTATTTTAGAAAAGGAGGGAGTTCAGATGCCGCATTTCTTTGTTAACAGTGGACTCCATGAAACTATGGGCTGAATATTACTAAAAAGAACAAAGACAGACACTTCACCTTTCAGTCACCAAAAGGGCTGAAGTTACTTTCTGTATGATGAGCTTCTCAGACACTAAGTGCTGTGACATTTTATAGTCAAGGACTGCCTGTCAGCAGTTGCTGAGGCAGGACATAAATACAAAAAGGGGAAAGCTTCAAAAAAAGGCTCCTATGGGCGTAACAACCGTCTTCCTTTCCTAGCTGGGTTAATTATGCTTACTTACAAAAAAGGAAAACTAGGGAAACAGCACTGGCTTTTTTCCTCCCACGATTCTAGCAGATTCCTTACTGTCTGCAGTGCCAGAAACAGCACTAGCGTCTAGAAGCAGAAAGCAGTGCATGGCATTAGTCACAAAGCAACCACTCACAGTGATTAACACGCAGCATTCTAAATATAATTCTGCACAGATAGCTTCAGCTTAGGTCAATCGTGGCTGAAGACATTACAGCAAGAAGATGGAGGTATCAAGAAAGCACAGTCAACAACCGTAGGATCCCAAAGCAAAGACTACATTCAGTAATCATCTACTGTTTCTAGAATATAAACCCTAGTAAAGGAAAACAGGGCAGCATTACATTGTTTCACAGGATGAGGCACCAAGGTACTTGCAGTGCATCTTCAGCAAAGTTGTATTTGCCCAGAACAAAAGATGTATTATAAAAGTTGTGGAGTCAAGCTGAGTTGATGGAAGAAAAATAAGTGCAGAAGATGATATAAATGTTATTGTAGAATGAAAACTAAGACTGCCTTTCTGGAAAGGAGCGTCTGTGGTGATTTTAAGTTCCTACCCAAGGTTATAATTTCCTAAAGATTCTCAAAACTGATCCCCAATTTAAAAACTCATGAAGCAGTCATACCTCACTGCACCACATCTAATGTACCAAAAACATCAATACATCAAAACAAACCCCTTTAAAGCAGACTTAAAAATAAATAAATGAATAAAAATAAAAAGCCAACCACATTAATCTGTTTGAAATATAGGTCCATCGCTACTAGTAAAAAAAACTAGACAACATCGTAGGCATGCTGTCATGGAAAACTGTCACTGCCTTCAGAACTGTCAAAAGTAATTCAAACAAGAAATTTGCCCTGATGAAATAGCCACATGGAGTCATTCCACCATGTTTCTCCTCTTCAGACATCATTGAGACCTTTTGTACTGTGCATTTTTTAGGGAAATTTAAAAATGTTAATTGGTTTTAAATAACCATTTAAAAATGGTTACTAGTATACTCCTATGAAAGTTTAAGATGCCTCTAATTTATCCTTTCTCCTGCAAGGTGTATACCCTAGGAACTGTATTCAGTTACATCAGTTACCTTATCCACCCTGAAATGCAGTTTTAATGCTTCAGAAAACCAATCCAAACCTTCTAGCTCCAAAACCACCTCTACACAAGGCTTATGTACATTCAGCATTCAAGAAAGGCATTCAAGAAAGACATGTTTGCCCTCAAAATGTCATGAATTATCAACAGGAATAAAACAATAACATGGATCAATGAAAGTACATTTTCAAAACAAGGACATTTTCAGTTTGTTCAAAGGGAGAAGTTCCCCACCCAATCATTACTTTATGAGCTCGTGGTTTTAAGTAACGCCCCAACCAAACAGATACCTACTTGGGTTGCCATTTTTCCGTAGTCAATCCAACGCAATGTGGCAAAGTTGGTTGACTCAGCACAGTTGAAGCCATGATTGAAGCCAGCATGGTAACCATAAGGAAATGTAATCATAAACTCTCCAGCTTCCTGGGTGATCTGAAAAACAGAAATAAAAGGACAGCCTACATCAGATGAGCAGAAAAAGCACTGTGAAGACAGTTATATCCTCCTTGTTAAATCTCTCTCAGCAAGAAGGCAGAACAGTCACAGCCAGTTCTCGGCTATACCTACAGCAATTTCTTCTTAACTGTAGAAATACTGAAGTAGTTCTACTAGTGAAAACAGACAAAGGACAAAAGAAAACAGTACAAAGGACAGAAGCTGCTATAAGATCTTAACTCTTGATATAAAGGCCCCAGTTATGAAAAGGGTCCCAAGCTGCAGCATTCCAAAAGATGCACAAATCTTTTGCTTGCTGTCACTTCATCCCTTGTTAAGTTCATACCTACTCTCCCACATCATGCTAGTGGGGCCAAACAGACTGCATTTCCCACCTACACATGTGCTCTGTGCTGCAGTGTCCTACTGAAATACATAACTTTTCCTGTATTTATTTCCTCACTTATATGGTTATCATTCTCATTTGTTCACTTGTAAGTCAAACAACCTAAAAAATCTTAGCCTGCTATTTGTCCACCTGAGTAAAATTAAGATGAAAGTAAGTAAAAAGGATTGAAAACTGCAGATTACAGCTGTAATCAGAGGCTGAACGATTCCCAGTACTTCTAGAAAATCACCTTTTAAAAACCTACAAAGAGAAAACGTTGTGAAAAGAATGTCCCTGTTAAGCAACACAAGAACAACTGGTAGCAGCGTAACCAGCTTAACCTGCTAGCTTCCCAAAGCATAGGGTACCATCTCCTCCCTTTAACAGATCAGAAATATGGCAAAATTTGACCTTTGCCTGTCTTTCTAAACTGGAAGTGCTGACAAAGCTTTCGTAACACATCTGGCTTATTTCCCACTGACACTAACCACAACTCAGCAGTCTGGAGCCTACTGAGCCTTCAAAGAACTTTCACATATAAACACAGGAATAGAACCAAGCAGAAAATGTTATCAGGAATTAAACCACTGGCCCACTAGACTGAGCCCAACCTTGTTCATACTACGAACATCAGCAGAGAACAAAACGAGAAAATAAATGCAAGATTTGATAGCACAAAAGCTTCCAGATGAGGGGTGCTGAAGCACGGCCTGCAGCGCGTCCCCTCCCATCCCTCCATACATCACTGCACAGCAGTAGATTGCTAACTTCAGAAAACAGAAAGATTATGTTTCTGTCACAACATCTACATCCTGGTGTCTTCATTTCAAGCCCACAGCATATGTCCTCCATGTCACTGCTGTCAACATTATCCCTACAATAAATTAGAAAGCACTCGAGATGATGGATAGGCCATGCAGAAAAGTAATAACTATTGAAGAAAAGCCAGCACAAACTGCCACTCATGGAGAAAGGCCTAAATTTACTGACTTATGCAAGCTCTTGCAGAATACGTGGAGAAATCAATAGGAGATTATAGAAATACACATTTTTAATTATTAAAAAGCCCCAGTATTGATCTGCTTTTTTATTTCGAGAAGTAAATACCATTATAGAGATTTATAAATGCGCACTTATTCACTTCATTGAAACCTGCCAGAAATGTAGATGAAGGGATCCTATCTCTATTTCTACAGAAAAGTGGCACACATTCCCTGTTCCTGAACAATAGCAATCCTCCTTCAAAACCTACTTTTCAGGATAGGAGTTATTCAGACATGGACTGCTCTGACTAAAGAGATCTCCTCCTCCTCTTCACATTTAAAAACGTCCTTCCAGTGAGTGCCATAGAAAATAGAGAATATGTAAACACATACACAAAAAAAACCACATTTGTGCCCCACATTCTGTAAAACAGGATTAGGAATTATATTTCTTTACGTGAGATGTTAACAATACCCCTTGTTTAAAAAAGTTTGGTTTTGACAGCAATATTGTTTATCTTCGCATGCACTGGCCTCCATTTTTTGGGTGAAAAAAAAAAATCCCAACAAAAAATACAGAAGCCAAACACATACAAAGGAAACAAACAAAAAATCTATACACAAAATAAGTTCCTTATCATTAAGGTAGCACACATTTTAATACTCAGAATGAAGGAGGCACCAGAGATGAACCTACACACCTTCCCTCCCCAAATCACAAGATTCACAGTGGGAAGCCTACCTAACTGGGAAAAGACTTTTTACCAGGCAACAAATTAGAAAGTCCTTCCATATCAAAGTACTTCATAATCCCATGCCCATCACCAAACAGCTCAGTAAAGCTGACTTGGGATAAGCTCGATAGAAAAGCTTTCCTCTATTACAAACTCTTTTGCTCCTCTTGCTTGGTTTTGATCAGAAATTACTCAATACATGTAATTACTAATCAGTGCCACTTTCCAGGTACATGGAAAAGCAAACATAAATCTTCTCATCAGAGAAAAATATGCCCACCTACAGCATTCAAACACTCACAAGAATTTCCTTCACATTCTGACTTCCCACAACCATTCAAGCAGCATGTTTGGGCACTGAAGAGGCAGAAATTAATTTCCATTTCCTATAGTTTTCCATTTCATAGAAGGATGGGATACCAATAAGGGGCTGCACAACAAACTTCACTTACAATATCTAGTGAGCTAGATTGGGATTAAAAAGATCAGTTCCCAAAGTCAGATTATTTTCAACCACGTATAGCAGATAACCATGTTTTCACATTTGGACTTCAGGTTTAACAGATAGAATTACAAGAAAAAATGGTTTGCTGATCCCTAAAAACAAGTTGATATCAACTATCATGTGCAAACCAGGCAAAATGTGGCCACTAATACTGAACTACAAAGCACCACACATGGCTTTCTGCAAGTCTCTGCTGCACAGTGAGCTCATCCAACAAACCAGACAGTCACACTTCAAATTTCATTCATCACAGCCTTCCACTAGGAAAAATGAAACAGTCTCTGGAGCAGTAAATAGAATGAATTCATAGCTTTTATGCTATAAAAGAATGCAGAACTTGTACTTCTCAAAGAATCACTAGGACCATCAAATAGGTGGTATACTTTGTCACCGGTGGACTAACTCTAGCAAAACCTTGCTTAAGAGTTCTTACTTAGGGAAAAAAAAAAAAAAAAAAAAAAAAAAAGGCCACAGTGTCTTGAACTGATGATGCCAGAGAAATGAGGAAGGAGGAAATGAGTTTAAATCAAGTACTCTTTGACACTTCCACTGGAGTTAGAGCTGCAGTGCCTCCAACTCAATTCCTTTTTCTGCACCCTGACAGTATCATGCCCACAAACAGTGTCCTTAACCATTCTGGCAGGACAATGGGCTTTGTATGCTGGCAACATACAGAAGCAGTAACCGCTTGATTGAATCTGCATAAAATCCATGCTTGACTGAGGAGATTTACTTCTTGCCCAAAGCCTTTGAGGATAAGCACATTAAAATGATCATAACAAATAAACATGGCCCCTCATTTCAAATAAGAGGACTTAAGAAACAGACAGATCCTTACTGGCTCTGTGTAGATAGAATGCTTTCACAACAGAGAACCTGCATGTGTAACTCCAGTTTTTGGTTCACAAGAGATCCAGAAAAAAAAAAAACTTAAGACTGTGTTGAACAGCTACCTGAGAGTTATGCTGCCTATTGACAAGCCATAGGACATGCATCAAACAGCTCCTGACCAGCTGCAGAGAACTGCTGCCTTAGAAGAGGGGTGTCATAGATTGTGCATCACAGCAACTTGCCAGCTTTACTTTACAACTTTACTTTCCTCAAAGCCTCTTTTGTACATACCCGGTCAAAAGGAATGCCGTACTTCTTCAAGATTGAGGGTGAAATGAGGGTCATCTTGTGACGGAGGAAAGCATCACATCCCTGAGAGCTTCCAGGAAAAAATCCTGTAGAGACATTACAAAGAGGACTATCACTTCAGGAATATTATATCAAGTCATTATTTAATCAGTGACAAGGTGACAAAATGAAAACCTGCCTAAATATTTTACGTAGATCATAGCAAAAGGCATACTGCTAAAGATGTCAGTAATTAGCACATGCCTCCTTGTTTCAAATGCCACATAAATTTTGTGAAAAAGACTTGAATGTTGAGGCACATAAGTGTTAATTCCATTCACAATGAGAGTCAGCATCTAATCTATCGTATCTGAGAATACACAACTTGGCCAAAATCTCAGTAAATCCCTAGCAAATTAAGAAACTGAACCTAGCTGTCTCCAGTTTTGGCTAGAGTCTGAGCAAACCTTTTTCTTAATATAGACAAGGAAAAATTGACAAGCATGCACCATCTACTCCATAGTCCTTTTTATACCTTCTCTGAAGGGCAGCTATATTATTCCTGGGAAAGTAACACAACTGTTATCATACGATTCCAGAACGATCTGCCCTACATACCAGCCTAAAGAAAAGAAAGAAATAAGCATGCAGATGTTAATATTGAGTCAAAAAGAAAGAAACAAAACAAAACATAACCACTACAGTGAAGTAGAAGGGCTGCTCATTCATTGGCCACAGAGGTCAGATATAGAGACACTGTGATTTAATTCAGCATCTCAGCAGTACAAAGTGCAAGCTTGACTATAGCTACAAGATTCGCACCGAGTCAAAACAAACCACAAATAATTAAAAACATTAACATTGGGGTAAAAACCAAACCTCTTGATGTCAACACTTCCTTCCCAAAAGCATCAGCTAGACTGTAAGAACACAGTGTTTGCGACCATCATGTGTTACACTCCAAGCAGGTGATTCAATTAACAAATGGTGTTTATGGGATTAAGAACCAATGTCATTTTGAGAAAGAAAGAATTTAAAAAGCAAGCAAGCTCAGGATACAAAACTAATCGATGGGACATAATGGAAGGGGTTTCAGAAAGTGAAAAGAATTGCCAGATTCCAGGTTTTCCTATATTTTTGCACTAAAAGCATTTACATTAAAGTGATGACTGTCTGCTGCCTGGTTTGCTGTCCTTCTCTGCAGTTCCTTTTTTTAATGCACAGTTTATGTGGCTCTCATTAAAGCTACTAATAAATAAGCACATTTTAAGTGATTAGCACCAATAACATGGCAACACATTAACATTCTCTCCATGGACTCCACAACTCTCTCAGCGAGCCCATTTACAGCTCAGCTATTCATTTTCTATATTAATTGCATGCTCATCTTTCCAGAGAGAACATCTTCATAGTACAGTCTGCTGATGCATAGGACGGGGAGGATGCCCAAGCAGTAACGCTGCTTCATCATAGTTTTTAGACATTATTCATCCGAACTTCCAAAAGGTACTAAGCAAAATAAAACAAGCAGCTCAAAATAAAGATGAGATCACGGATAACATGTCTGGTTTACACACTGTCAACTACTGCTGTGCTTCAAAATTTTATTCTTTTTTCCACAAGTATAAAACAATCACCAGAACGTCAGACTGTTAGGAAGAAATGCCAACACTAAGAAAACCTACTTTTTTTATTATTACTCCTTTGCATCAGAATACAGCCTTCCAGATCTCCCTGCCTCTCATACCACAGCACTGCTTTTGTCGCATTAACTTCAACAACAGATTTAAATCATTCAGAGTACACCTCACTGAGGATGGAATATGTGGATTTTGACTTAATTATCCCAAAACACTGACTTTCTTTTGTTTGGCTGGGCAGCGCTTAGAACATTTGCAAATATACAAAAACAACAACAAAGCACAAATAAAACATCAACAAATAAATACATATATATTTCTACAGTCAGTCATCTTTCCTGAAGTTGCCACCATGCCACCATTACCAATTGGAAACCAGAAGCGACAAAGACAGAATGCTGATGTCCATGCTTGCTGCTTGCAGAATGACCTTGGCAGGTACTTAGGCAAGAAGTGCACATATGGCTTTGGGCAGCTGAGGCTGGCACTTGCAAGGTCAAAAACCACAACAGCTCAAGCTAGCCCTGCTCTTTGAGTTGGACTTCATTGTGTTGAAATGATGATGGAGGATGGCACTGGAAAGGAATGCCACCAACAACACTGTATGTCGTCATAGAGAGAGGCAAGAACTCCACTAGCTGTTCTCCATTAGCGCTGTTGAATTTGCTTGAATAAGATTTGAAGTAATCTACCAGTACTACATAAATAACATTTATAACACAGGAAGACATAATGGTTTTTAGCACACCTTTTCCCAGCAGTGGGGGTATGGGATGGAATCATCACCAATACTTCACAGACTGCACACCACAAAACTGGAGCAACAGAGTTCTCACCACACTGCCACAAACCTCCTACAGAGATGCATGATGAACTCTATTTCCCATGCATGGTCTCAATGCTTTGAAAAATCAAGCTTTTGCCACCAGTTTTGGTTAGGGCCATGGTGTGTCAGAAGACAGATTTTGAGAAAACAGTTGCACTATGAAGAATTGTGCACAGCACTTCTGACGTGACAAGGTTTCTGACTCAAGAGTTTATTATACCAATGTAGGTTCATCAAGCAGCTCTTTCAAGAGTAAGTTACAGCAGTCAGTTCAAAATAAATTCTTTATAAATCTTAAAATTCTTTACAAATCCATTTTAAAATTAAGAGTTGGACTCTCTTCTGGAATGCTTTGGTTTTCACTAAGCACATACCTATGTATTTATCCAAACAGCATTACCACAGGAAGAAGCCAAGCTTACCTTTCGCCAAGCGTTCCAATCTCTTGCCATGTTCTGGAGGTATGGCATACCTAGGACAAAGTTAACACAGAAGAAAAAAAATAATCACACCACAATGTAAAAGCAGTGAAAAAAAACTAAAAACAAAGGTAGTAATAACTTTTAGCACAACACTCTTACAATAATGTCTCCAAACGTAAGCAAAAATTTAGAAGTCTGGAAGGCATCGGTAACACGTCAGTACAAAAGGAGGAGGAAAGTCAGTATCTCAGAAAAGCCCTTAAATGTGTTACACAACGCGGGAGGCTTTCCTGCTACTTTTTAAAAAGCACCATCTCAAGCTTCATAAGGTGTAAGCAGAGCAGAGGTGACAAACTGACAGCGCAACAGGAATCAGTCAGCATAGGGAACAGCAGTCTTGTTTTCTGCAGGAAGGATGCGTGCAAAAGAAATTCACAAGGCTGTGCTAAAGACAAAGACAGGAATTTCAGATGGGCTGAAAAAGTGTGAGGGAGGATCTGTGTGCACTGACATTTACAGGGAGTGAGGATAAATATTTTTTCAAAGACAAGTGTGCAAATCTTTTTTGGCTTTCTTCAAAAAGTAAATACTTTTCATAACAGTCAAAGCAGCTGATCTTTGCATTGGCAGGATTGTGTTGACTGATTTGAAACAAACAGAATTAAACTGTTAGGTAATTTTCTAGAAGAGGTGAATGGAAGAAGTGGGGTCTTCAAAGGAACAATACATGAAAGAATGCAGGGAACCGTTTCTACATTTTTAAAAGACAGTTTTCTGTGATCAGGAGTAAAAAGTGCACAAAAGAATGTCACTGAGACGAGGTTCCTCTGTTTGTTTCGTGCTGGTGCAAAGTACTGAATACAATTCAGGAAAAACAATCAACTGCCTAAAGTCACACATCACTAATTGAGATATTCTCCTGAGATCTCCCCTCAGAAGATCTTAGTTACTTCACTCTTTGAAGTTACGTTGCCTAGGTATTCACAGAAGGAAAAATCAACTGCTTAAGATTTTACGCTTCACTCAGGTCACGATGTGACTGAACACCATATACACCCAAACATCTTTAAACAGACTGCACAAATAATAATGCCAATAGAATTTGTAAAATTGTTGTTTACATACATACATTACACATAATTAAATGTGGCTGTCATACCTTTTTTCATAACAAGAGTTTTGAAAAAGATGTATTTATTACCAACTATAACTTTTGTACAATGTGAATAATAAAAAAATGAATTATTTTTGTTATCTTCAATAAAATTGTCAAAATTGTCACAAAATGGGCCAGCGTAAGCAGGTAACTGCCTGATCTCAACAACACGTAAAGAGTATTGTTGTTCTTCCAATAGGATCTCTGAAAAAACAATGGGTTTAGAGGACTTGCTGCCAGTCTTCTCATTCAGCTTCTCAATTTTTTAGTCAAAAGTTTATCTACAATGTAAGGAAAAACAGATAGAAGTCATATCCCAAATTGCTTTTTCACATTAACAAAATTTACCTTATCTGATCCTTGCAGGTTAGAAAGGATAACAATGGAAAGAAATCCTACATAGGATGCCCTAAGATTTAGACATTAAGCCGATTTAAACTGATGGCTTAAAAAAAATCTAAGGGAAAATACTATGTAGTACCTAATCTTATAAAATAATAAATACAACAACAGGCTCCCAGCATACTCTGACCAAAGTCTGACAGTGCCTTAAATTGTATAATAATCAAACAATTCAATTTCATTTGTCTGGGACAAAGCTAGGAGCTTTCATTTTACAAAGACAATTTATCACTTACATAAACGTGATAAAACTAATCCTGATCCAAAGCTCCTTTGTGGGATTAATGTCCCTTAAAACAGGGAAATGAGACATTCCAGTCCTTGTGGGAAAAACGCTGAAGGATTGGGAAAGAACTAATTTATGGCTACAAGGCTGCTGCTGATTAATGTAATATCCCCCGTCTACAATGCAACCTTCACTTAATTAGTGTCTGTAATTGGGAGTTGTAAAGATAAGATTAATTGAATCTTGAGGATGTTAAAAGTCTAATATATTGGAACATGGTTACTGTGTTATCTGCAACTGCAGACTGCAAAAAGCCAAGCTGAGCTTTGGAGAATAGTCCATGGAGAGTCAAAGAAAAAGGACTTGCTTAGATAGGAACCAGTGAGAGAGGAGGAATTTCCAGCTTTTAAAAATGGAGTATATGTAATAATATGCAGATCAGAACACCCTACCACAGAACAGCCTCTTGGGAATAGCTGACTCCACATTTATAAACTTTTTTTTTGTTTGGACCAAGTCTTTTAGGAAGCAGGGTCTACACTTTCTTGTAAATTTATTCGTAGGAATTCACAAAGTTAACTGCAGAAGTGAATTAATTAGGAGTAAGTAAAATTCTATTTTAAGTTACACTCACGGATCCGACTGATTTACATAAAGATAAGCAATAGAGAGAGAATTCGGACTGCTACTTAAAACCAGGAATAGAAACAGAAGCCTTCTGCAAGCTCTGCACAGGTCGAGCAAGCGAGCTTTATGTGATCAAGACATAAAGTGACTGATTACAAGGAGGAATAACAATGGAGGTGACAGGGAAAGATCATAAACTGTTGCAATCAAAGGAGCACTGTAATTGAGCATGCAAGCACACATGAACGGGTGGCTCTTGTCTCTCATGGCAGCATCTTGTGTTCTTACTACAAAATGTGGCCAGACACTTATTAGGGACAAAGTACTCCACAGAAGGAACTGATGAAGCAATGACATTCAATACCTTTTGTTACTGACCCTCCTGCACCCACAGGCTGGGGCTTAGATCAATAAAGGATTTTAATTCCAGAGAGAGCTGGGAGGACTATGCTTCACTATATCCAATGACTTCATTTTCTACAGGCATCATTCAGGAAACTTCAAGATTTTTTCAGCAAGTAGGAGTGTTCTTTTTCCTTCAGTACCCCAGACCCATACTAAGAGAAGTTACCTCCGGATAAACACCAAAACCAAAAGCTACCCCATCAAAAACTTGAAGGAAAAAGAAAAATCACATGTAAAACTGCTTCCCTTCTCTGCTCCATTAAGGCTGTAGTATAAAGGCACTCCACAAAGTCATGGAAAGAGTAGGAAGAGTACATAAATACAAGAAAAATGCCACTTTGAGTTCTGCATCAGTAGGCCAAAAATAGACTGTAATATCCTGTAAAAATCTCAACTTGACAATATCAGACTGACAACTACCTGATGCTTCATCACAGTTGACAGAAGCAGTTTTCTGACATCCATCTGCCCAGGTGGAACTGAATGAAGAACGCTGCAGACCTACCTTTTCTTCAGCCTACAGTAGACACATCTTTATAACCACAGCAAAGACGAAGCAAGAATTTTCTGTCATCCCAAACAGTCATAACATTAAAGAGAATTGATAGTGGCAGCATAAATATTTAAACAGCTTTTATTAATAACTCTCTTTTTATAGACTACTTCTGCTTCAGAGAAAACATCAACAACCGCCAACAAAATATACAACTGTGCCTAAAATGATGACCTTCAGCCAATGCTTCAAACGTAGCATCTGTCCCTTCCGGCACAGCAAGGTCCCCCAGTAAAGCTATGTCTACGTAAGCAGTGCTAAAGCAGCCATTGTGTTAAGGCATATCAAACTTGCAAGAAACTGAGCTTGCAAACTGCATAATCAATGGATATCAAGATGTTACAATCACAAAATAAACAAGACAGTTAGGCGAAGTAGACTATGACAGCAAAAGAGAATAAATGGAAGGCTTACCCTTACGTTGGGCTCACCCACAAAACACCAGCAGAGCAGATCTCCAGATGAGATCCTTCCCCACTGGCAGCCAGCTCTTCAATAGGTCTAGGAGAGGTGCAGCCTGGCTCCACCCCTTCCGGCAGCACAGGTGAATTGAATTGCCTTCACCTGTGCTCCTCTGGCTGACTCACGGCTCGCCTCAGGTGATCAATCAGAGGTTCAGGCCGTGACTCAGCAGTTCCCATACACAAACAAACCAAGAAAGGGCCAAACTACCTGAAAACTGCCATGCTATAGTCTGTGGGATTACAACATGAATAATGTCTTACTGCTTTGCCAGGGAACACAAGATTTACAGAACAGAAAAAAGCCTCAAGATAAAAAATTGTTATAGCTGTGTGACTCAAATATCATCTTCCCTGAAGTCAACAATCTGAAAGTAATATAGTGATTCTTCTAAATTACCTTTTCCTACACTTTCTGCTAAAACAAGAGCAGGCCCCTGAAATAGATTAAATATCACTTCTTCAAAAATGGAACTTTGCTGCTCTACGTGAAAAATTCTCAACTTCCAAACTTGTTTCACAAAACTTAAATTCTAGCAAAACTGACCTCTACTTCCACATAATATTCTGAGTTCTTGAGGATCCCTCAAACCTCATTCTGCTTGTAGTGACCACACACTGAGATCACAGGTCTAGAAGGTGCATGCCCCAAAGTACAAATGTGTAAGATAATCATAGATGATCTTAAAGGTTCCTTCCAAACTAAACCATTTTGTGTTTCTATGATTTACAAACAACAGTAGTTTGCTTTTGTTAACAAGTAGCAAGTCTAACTGGGCAGTCCCCTTTTCACCCTTAATGCAAAGGATCTTTTCCATTTGCCATAAAGGATGTCATTAATAGTGTAATTTTCTTGGTGTTTTGTTTATTCCCCTGGAATGGTTTGATGGATGTTGATAATTATCAGACTATAAAAGCCAGCAAATGTGCTATTTTCTATCGCTGTACATCATCAAACAAATAAAGTGTGAAACAGCATTTCTGAATACAATTTTCCCCTCTAATGGCTTAGAATTATTATCAGGAACAGTGAAAATAAATAAGCAAATGTCTTGCGAGTTAAGAATTACATGAATGTGTCAGTAAATAAAGAGAGTACACTGACCATCCCAGGACGCAAGGATGCAAGTTTAGAAGCCATTAAAAGATGACACAGTGAGGAATTCACTACTGCAATGACACCATTTACAGCATCAGATCTTCTTCAGGGACCTTCCAGA